ATGAAAACCCAATTTTGGGCCCAGGTTATGTATTTGGGTTCAGGGAGAAAATGTTGCATGGTCCCAAATCTGTTTGTGCTGTCTTGCCAACTCCTATGGTAATTGTCACACCGGTTTCCCCAGCCAGCCCCCAAAACGGGTTGGGACCTGCTAAAACCGAATGTAGTTTTTTTCCCCTTTACCGAAAAGTATAAGGGGGACCTTGTCTCCAGGGGGGGGGCTGGGCCCAAAAATGGAAAAAGGGCCCATTTTTTTTTCCCCCCTACCACTGTATAAGGGCCCTTTGGGTCTCCAGGGGCGGCCCGGGCCCAAAAATGGGAAAGGGTTTTTCTTTTTTCCCCTTTACCCCCCGTTTTAAAGGGGGCCCGGGTTGTCTCCGGGGGCGGATGGGCCCAAGAATGGGAAAAAGGGGATTTCTTTTTCCCCAAACCCGAGTAAAAGGGGTTTTTATTTCCCCAGGGGCGGACTGGGACCAGAAATCGGAAAGGGCATTTTTATTTCCCCTTTACCCAGTAAAGGGCCCCGTTAGTCTCCAGGGGGGGGAATGGGACCGGGAAATGGAAAAGGGGGCATTTTTTTTTCCCCTCCCACAATAAGGACCGTTAGCCCCAGGGGGGACGGGGAAACCAGAAACCCGGGAAAAAGGGCATTTTTTTTTCCCCCTACCACAGATAAGGACCGTTAGTCCCGGGGCGGACGGGACCAAAAATGGGAAAAGGGCTTTTTATTTCCCCAACCAAATTTATGGGGACCTTTTAGTCCCCAGGGGCGGACGGGGGCCCAAAAAAAGGGGGAAAAGGGGAACATTTTTCCCCTACCACAGTATAATGGACTTATTTCCCCAGGGGCGGATGGGCCCAAGAAATCGGAAAGGGCATTTTTTTCCCAACCAAGTAAAAAGGACCTTTTAGTCTCCAGGGGCGGCCCTGGGACCAAAAATGGGGAAAGGGCATTTTTATTTCCCCATACCACAGTATAATGGACCGTTAGTCTCCAGGGGCGGACTGGGACCAGAAATCGGAAAAAGGGGAATCTTTTCTTTTTCCCCCAACCACAGATAAGGGACCGTTGGGTCCCCAGGGGGGGGAGGGCCCAGAAAATGGGAAAAAAGGGCTTTCTTTTTTTCCCTACCACAGATAAGGACCGTTATCTCCGGGGGGCGGACTGGGACCAGAAATCGGAAAGGGCATTTCTATTTCCCCATACCACAGATAAGGGGCCCGTTAGTCCCGGGGGCGGACTGGGAAACCGGGAAATGGAAAAGGGCCTTTTTTATTTTCCCCATACCACAGAAAATGGCCCGTGGTCCCCAGGGGGGGACTGGGGCCCAGAAACGGAAAGGGGCATTTTATTCCCATACCACGGGAAAATTTGGCCCGTTAGTTTTCCAGGGGGGGGCTGGGCCCAGAAACGGAAAGGGAAATTTTATTTCCCCTTACCACATTTAAAATGGACCGTTAGTTAAGGGGCGGAGGGGCCCAGGAAATGGGAAAAAAGGGCATTTTTTTCCCCTTTACCACAAAATGGAAACCGTTAGTTCCAGGGGGGGGAGGGGGCCCAAAAATCGGAAAGGGGCCATTTTTTTTTTCCCCTTACCCCCAGAAAAGGAAACCTTAGTCCCCCGGGGGGGAACGGGCCCAGAAAGGGAAAAGGGGAATTTTTTTTTTTTTCCCCCAATACCACAGTAAAAATTTGGAAACCTTTTGTCTCCAGGGGGGGGAAACTGGGACCAGAAATGGGAAAGGGGGGCCCATTTTTTTTTCCCCATACCGAAAGTTTTAAGGGGAACCGTTATTTCCCCAAGGGGGGGAAATGGGCCAAAAAATGGAAAAAGGGGCCTTTCAATTTTTTTTTTTAAAGGCCCCACATTTTTTGCCAAAATTTGATCCCTTTTGGGAAAAAAAGGGAAAAAAGGGAACTATATTTTTGGGGACCGGCCCCACTTGGCTAAAAAAGGACCAGCGATCTGGCTTTTGCCCGAACGGTCCGGGGCCCGGGCCACCCCTTTTAACTTGGTCAGATTCAGGTGTTCCTTTCTGGGCTGGGGGGAAGGAGGAATGAAAAATTAAAAGGGTTTGATCCATCCCCCAAAATTATCCTCCAAAACCCAATGGTAGGTTATAAATTTAAATGATTACTGTTTTAAAAAGTGGGGGAAAGACAAAAAGGAAAGGGTCAGGCAAAAATTAAAATTATTGACTCCTTTTACACACACACACACAAAACCACACAACACGAAACATGCAGGTCAGTCTCTTTCCCAATGTACAGGTATTTTTTTTACATAACAAAATCCCGGAAGAAGTTTTACAAGGGGTTAAGATGGGGGTTTTTTAGTGGTGTAAAAAATTTATTGAGGGGAATGGAATGCTAGATGAGATAAGGAGCAGGTTGCGTCATAGTGGTTTTTTGTACCCATTTTCGGGGGAAAACTTTTTTAAAAAAATAAAATAAAACCCTAAAATACATTTATCAAAAATTCAAAAATTTCACATATTATTTGGAATGCCGAATCACCCGCCACCGGGAGGGTGAAGGGGTGACGAGGGGGGGAAAAGGGGCC